ACAATTTGCTGGTTTTATGGTTGTTTCCTGTCCACTCAAGAATGACAGCAAGGCAGTGATCAAAGAGATCCAAGAAGCATCTCATCATGTAAAAAAAAAAAACTAAACAAAACGGTGATGAAAATTTTGGGTTCGTTCTCAAATAAGCAACTTTCTTCTCTTCCTTCAGGTGGTCATGATCACAGGAGACAACCCCCTCACTGCATGCCATGTTGCAAGAGAGCTCCACTTTATCCAGAAAGATCACACACTTATTTTGCAGCCGAGCCTCAATCAGGGTACGCATTAGGTTCATCGCTTAATTCTGCGAGTGTTTTGACACTTGGCTTGAATAACGAGAAGTTTTATGTATAAATGCTGTTTTTCCAGGTCAGTGGCACTGGGAATCCATTGATGGCACCGTAACTGTTGCGCTGCCCCCTCCTTCAGTTTCTTCGTTTGTGCAACAGTTTGACTTGTGTGTAACAGGAGAAGGGCTGGCTCGGTTGGGCTGCGATCCCCACCTTCTCCACACACTGTTACCACATATACGAGTATTTGCTCGAGTCAGTCCAAAACAGAAGGTGGGTCCTGAAGCAGCAGCCTTTAAGTCATAGTTTGTGCGCTCTCTTCCTACCTCAATTTGGTGTTCTCAGCAAAAGTTTGATTTCATGTGTTTTAGGAATTTGTAATCACCAGCCTTAAGGGGCTTGGTTATGTGACCCTGATGTGTGGTGATGGCACAAATGACGTCGGAGCACTTAAACATGCTCACATAGGTAAGTTATTTTTAAATAACTTACCTGAAACAAGTTTGCCAAGAGTTGCCTCCAGTTGTGAGCAATGAACATTTTGTTTTCTCACAGGGGTGGCCCTCTTAGCCAATGCTCCAGAGCGCATGCCTGAGAAAAAGAAGCGGGGTAGAGATAAGGAGTCGGCAACATCAGACATAAGGCCTGTACCACCTGCTAGTTCTGGTGTCAAGCTGAGCTCCAGAGCAGCCAGACAGCGGGCCATGGCCCAGAGGGAGGAGCAGCTTGCAGCACAAAAGGTGTTCTACTTTATCATTTAACAAAAAATAGTTGCATCTTCTTTTAGAAACATAATGTAATCATAGAGGCAATTAATTAATTACAATAGGTATTCAGCTCTAATTTGTCACAATCTCTCTAGTTGCAACTGTCCAAGAAATATTAAAAATCTCTTTGTTTTATGTTTAAAATGGAGCCTTTAGAGAACTACTGGGATGTCTTAGATTGTTAAATCTATGAGCAAGGCCTAGATTATGGCTAAAGATATAACTAAATTAGACTTAGAATATATTTAATGTCCCACTCATCTTTCAATGTCATCATATACATTTGACATGGGCTACTCAAAAGAAATATGAGCTACTCAAAAAAAAAAAAGCTTACTTTTGTTAACCATTTTTTGTGCTTACTGTAACATGAAGAAACATACACTTCGCTAACCATTAGGATTTCTCTAACAGGAAAAAATAAGTCAAGTTCTCCGAGAACTTGAAGAGGATCAGGTACAAGTCGTCAAGCTGGGTGACGCTTCCATTGCTGCCCCTTTCACGTCCAAACTGTCCTCCATTCAGTGCAGTGAGTCACATGTTTCAATACTTATTTCTCTGTATTTATAAATAAAACTGATTATTAACTCTCGGACTCAATTTGTTTTTGTCTTTATTCCCCCAGTTTGCCATGTAATAAAACAAGGCCGCTGCACTCTGGTTACAACACTGCAGATGTTCAAGATTCTAGCTCTCAATGCACTAGTGCTGGCCTACAGTCAGTCTGTCCTCTACCTCGAAGGAGTCAAATTCAGCGATTTCCAGGCGACTCTGCAAGGCTTGCTTTTGGCTGGATGCTTTCTTTTTATATCTAGGTCAAAGGTTAGAATTTGAGTTATTTACTGTAAAGTTAACATGTTTTTTGGTGCTTACTGTAAATGTAAATTTTAAAACTCCACCGTAATTCTGTTTCTATTTAAAAAAAAAAGACAAATTAGGATTTTTTTTTTTCTCCTCTTTTCGCAGCCTCTGAAAACGTTGTCTCGAGAGCGGCCTTTACCAAACATCTTCAATCTGTACACAGTGTTGACTGTGCTGCTGCAGTTTGCAGTTCACTTTTGTAGTCTTGTGTATCTTTACAAAGAGGCGCAAACCAGAAGTCCACCAAGGTAAGCAAAAGTGCAACGGGGTAAGACCAAAGACCTCTTGAAAGACCGTGCATCATAGTAATAGCATGTGAAATGTGTTTTTTGAATTGGCTGAGCATTTCTATGTTCAAATAAAACATAGAAATGAAACAGAAAAGATTGTTCCCCACCAGTATCGCCTTTGTATTAGACATTTTTTAACAACTTTTTGTTTAAAATGTTTTTGGAGTAATACTTTCTCAGATTTTATCTTTTTAAAATGGGACGTCCAAGCTGCTGATGAGCAAACACTTGTTTAATTTATTATAAAATGTATACAATGTTTTCTCTTTTTCCTATCAGTGATACTTTGTGAATGCTTTATCATTTTTATGTTTTTTTTGTTGTTTTTTTACAGAGAGGAGCAGTTTGTAGATCTGTATAAAGAATTCGAACCCAGCCTAATTAACAGCACTGTGTACATAATGTCAATGGCCATGCAGATGGCCACCTTTGCCATAAACTACAAGGTATCTTTTCACTTTTGGGACCATGTATTGGTTATTTAAAACCATGTCTAAATAACTGGTGTTTATTTACATAATGGATTCCTCTTTGTGTCTTACAGGGTCACCCATTCATGGAGTCTCTCAGTGAAAATCGACCACTACTGTGGAGTATCGTACTTTCAGGGTTAGCAATTGTCGGGCTTCTTACTGGTTCCTCTCCAGAATTCAATGAACAGTTTGCTCTTGTAGAAATTCCAACTGAGGTGAGCTAACATTACTTTACCGTTTCTTGTTTTGATATTCTTGTAATAAGATCGTGTAACATGCTTTGTCTGATTTCTTGCAGTTCAAATTAATAATTGCCCAGGTTCTGCTGGTGGACTTTGTTGCTGCTCTGCTCGTGGACCGTGTCCTGCAGTTCTTCCTGGGCAAAGGAACTCTCAGGCTGCCTTCTTGATCTCAGTGCCAACAGCAAATGCTGCCCTTATTACCAAACTGTAAAGGGACAGAAGATTTTGAAAGAGGAAGAAAAGTACGGCTGTTGTTCCAAACACTTGACAGCTGAGATAGTCATGGCATGTAGGACTGTTCACTCTGTGTATCCCTTTCTTTGTTCCCCCCTGAACTCTTTACGTCTGTTGTTTTCTTTTTCCATTTGCTTTGTCTCAATTCTAATGTTTTTTATAACTGTCCATTTTTCTACATCGTTCTTTTGTTTTTCCCTCCCCACTCTTATTGACAGGCCATGAAGACAGCAGTATTGAGTGGAGTTTCAGATTGTGCTAGCCAGAGTGAAAACTACAGGCACAAAAAGGGCATTCTCCAAGAGAATTGCAATAGTGTTTTGGATTTTTTCCCCCTCCCTTGTTTTTGTAAAAAGTGAAAAAGAAATTTAACAGACTTATAAAGATTTAAAATGATGAAGTATTCATTTTGTCTTTTTTTTGTGTGTGTGTGTTTTTTTTTTTTTATTGTATTGAGAGAATGTAAGTAACACAAATTATTTTTGCTGGTAAATTTGGCATTACTAAGATATGAGAATACAATATAAGTCAACATGGAAACAAGATTGTTTATCAAAGTGTCTATGTCATGGGAACTAAACTAAAGTACTCTTTTGTTAAAATCTCAAACACTGGAATTTTTATATTTTTTAAATGCTATTAAATTTTGCTTTGATGCCACAACTATCAAAGTTAAAAGATATGCAAGTTAAGTTTAACTGATTCTGATTAAGACCAAAGTAACTCAATGTCCAATTTAAATTGGACATTTGTTTACTTTTAAACGTATCCTATTATTAGGTAAACTATAGGCACCTTACAACTTCAAAGATGAATATAGAATATAACTTTTACTTTCACAAGTTTAGAAATTGGCTAATAATTTTAAGAATTGTACATTTTCTAACCTGAAGCAGTCATTTCAAGCAGATTCCAAGAAATGAGAAATAACTAAGTCCACTACCAAAAACACACAAATGAAAGTAATGGAGAATGGTAAAAATCTCTTAAAGACTTGTAGAACATTTTATAGTCTGAAGAAACTAAGCTTGATGTTTTTGGCAAAACAGAAAAAAAAAAAACAGCAGTAAAACATGGTGTAGGCAGAATCATGCTTTTGGTTTTACTTTTCTTCACATGGGAGATGAAATTATGAACAGTTTCAAACATCAGTTTTTATTCAAAACCTTTTGCTATCTGCTGTAAAGATGAAGATGGAGTTTATATTTTAGCGTCACCGAATTCATACAAAGCTGATCAAAAAATGTACTTCAGACGTAAAACAAAAATTTATTGTCCTAGCCAGGGTCCAGAATAAAATTGGAGTTGACATTGTGGAAAACGGTGGACAAGAGACGTTCTCACAGTGTGATCATGTGGAGAACCTTTGGTAAGTAAAGTGTGGAGATGAGGGGCGAGAAGATGTGGCATGCTACCAAATAATGCTGAATGTGGAAATTTTATTCCAAATTGAATTCAGCAATATTAATTTTGTCTCTCAAACATTTTTTATTTGTAAAAAAATACATGTCATGTCTTAAGCGCAAAAAGTTTTTAAGTGTTTTGTCATAGTTTTATTTTTTAAGGAGAGATACAAAATGAAAGCATTTAAACATTTTGACTTTGGAGAGCCTCTGTACACTTTTTTTTTTTGCAACAAACTTGAAGTCATTTAAACATTGTTCCTATAAAACAGTCGCAATCTTTTGAACTTTATTCAAAGGGATCACAATAAATATGACCTTTGCTAAAATGCCCCTATTTAACTTTTCATATAAGTATTTCTAAATGCATCTATGTAAGGTGCAACAAATTTAGTTTTAAGCCTTGACCCTTGTATTGCTTAACTACATTTCCCATGAGTCTTAGAGCCGTGAAAGGGTGGGTTTGGTCTTTGAGCGCGCTGTTAGGACAGCTATTTGAAATTAAAATGGCGGAAAAGACGGCTGAAGTTGAGCACGGGTATGTTTTGTTTTAAGCTCGTAATACAACTTATTTAAATTAAACAAATCCATTACCTTACTACTGTAAATAATCTTAAACGAACTGTATTGTTGTCATGTTTTGGTGGACCTTTCTGAGAGTTTTGTTCTGGTCTGATGTAAACATTAAAGCGACTTTTTCGTCTGTTACCTGCTTTAGCTGCGGACGTGTTGAGGCAGACGAAACCTCAGCAGAGGTGAGAAATAAAAACCCTTTCTGTAGTTTACAGCAGATGATTTGCTGAATGGAGAGTTACTGGCTTTGTTGTTTATGCCAAGGTCCCGTTTTCGGCCCAGACTTCAAAAAGATGCTCCTCCTCAATCCCCGAGTCGGAACCTCCTCTGAAGTGTCACCGGACCGACTCGACATTATCTACCACACAGGCGCCAGATCCTGGAGACGAACAGTCAGAGACGATGAAACAAGAAATGGAGACACTCAAAGAAAGACCCGTAAATCCCCGTGAACAGAATAAATCCTGGAGGAGAAACACCATAACCCGACGCTCCCTCCCTGCGCTTCCCAACCCATATGAGAGTGAGAGATATTTTTATCCCCCCACAGTGAAACATTAATGTTTACTTTTGTTCAAGACAAATAATCATCTAAATTAATATGTTCTAGCTTTGTGCAGAAGCATAAGTCCATCGTTATCACAACAAGAGAGACTTGAAAAACTGCTGGAGGCTTCAATGGAGGTATGTTAAGTGAAGCTATAGGAACCAAATGCATTAAACCATTATAATAAGTTTCTCCTGAACTCGATGAAGGTCCAATAGCTCATTTGTATTTCTTTGTCTGTATCAACTCTTAAAAGATTAAATGAAGATTTGAAGATGTCATGAAATATAGACAGTAACAGTTTTATGTTCATATTTTTGCTAACTCGATAGATATTGTTTACTCAAGATTAGAAGAATGACTAGATATTTAATTAATACTGACCACAAATTTACACACAACAAAATGTGAGTAAAATAAAATTTTTAAAAATCGATTTTGTAAACTGTGAGAATAATTTTTGTTTATTCACGTGTTTGCTTTGCAGATGGCACTAGAAAGAACTCAAAATTCACTTGAGTCATTTCCAAAAGCTTCACTGGAGACCTTCAAAAAGCAAGGTTGGTAGTTTTTGGGGGGTTTTTTTAAATAAATTCCTTGGAGCTCAGTATTTTTTAATTATTGAAACAATAATTTTATGTTATCTCTGTTATTCCTATTTTGTGTAGTTGAAAACATCAAGATGGAGTGGAGCTGCTTAACCAAAAATACAAGCAACGAACCACACAAACTATCTTCGAGTCAACCGAAGTACGCATACTTTTTAAAACTTTCACTGTACTTTTGCTATTAATTATGATGATTGTCTTCATTGCATTTTTGTCTTTTATTGCTTTAAGTTGCAGTCAGCCTGCCGTGCAAAGAGCCATGGAAAATGTCCAGAAAGCAATCAACAGGCATGTTGTTCTGTCTGCTCTCATGTCCGATGCTTATTTTTAATTATAAATATAAAATGGCCACATATACGATCTTCTCTTTTTGTTTTTTCTTAGGCTCAAGGCTGAAAGTGAGTCTTGGGAGGCGCTTATGAACAAACACAAGGAAAAAGCAGAGGAACTGGAAAAGTAAATATTTATATTATCATCAAGCATTCACGTGACAATGTTATACACGACTTTCTTTGAATTTGTACCAATCGTGTTATTGGTTTTCCGCTGTAGGAAGGTGAAGATGGGACAGGAGACGGGTATACCTCTAAACTCCACGTTAATAGTCCAGTCCTCGCAGAACTCTGTCATACAGAGTAAACCCAACTACCACGATGTCCTCTGTAGGCAGCGACCCATGATGCATACTATGGCCATGATTGTATGTTGGATTTTTTTTTTTTTTCTTGTATCCTCACAAATAAGAAGTTATTGTATTTTCAAGCTTTTATGTTCTAATCTCTAAAGTGAATGTCATGATAAGAGTGGGCTTGCTGTACTGTATTTGAAATGTTGCTTCCTTGGGCAGAACGACTATGACATGCACACACCCACCAGGCAGTACATTGTACATCAGTACATTGGGCGGAGGGTGAAGAGAAATGGCCATAAGAACTGAGATTTTTCAGGGGCAAACTTGGAAATGAATGGGACACACATACATTTACAAATACAACCGTTTTCCACTTATATTTTAATGGTCACGAAACTTGCATAATGTCAGGTTTTAACTGTTTCTATGTGCAGTGCTTAGAATTATTGCTAGCTATTGTTGATTGACATAGAGAAAAGAGCAGACTCAACCTTTCTCCTTTCAAAATATTTCAGCTTTTTAACATGCATGCATGTAATTGAAAACAGATTGATCGTCAAGTAAGTTTGAAGATTAGTATTCTCTATTGTCTGCTATGTTGGAACAGTTTTGTACCTGTATATTTTTGTTTGTGTGTTGAAAATGCATTAATACTGTATTTTCAATGTCTCACAGATATTATTTAAATAGATATTTCCTTCCATAACAATTATAGGCATGAAAAGGTTGCTATTCAATCACTGGGAAACGCAGACACCGGACACACAGCAATTTAGACGGACCAGTTTTCAGATAGAAAACTAAGCTGTACGATTTTTCAAAGCACCAGATCTGATGCAATGTTGTCATCATTTTATTTTGTAACTTATAGATTTTTTTTCGTCTTGCCTGTAGATGGACACTCAGTGTAAAATGATACAGCAGCTACTTACCATCAAGGAGCAGTCACAGCTGTTAGTCAAAAAGACCAGCGTCCAATTAGGTAATGACTTTGCTTGAATAATATATTGTTTCTTTGTAATATTTTGACATTTTCTGTGATGGTCTAGCGAAAGAATCTTTCACACTAATTATTTTTATTTCTATGCTGTCTCCAGCTGAGGAGGCCGGATTCCAGGAGCTTTCATCGAACCTTCTTAAGAATCTGATGTCGGCACCTTTGCAAAAGGCAACTACATAAACAATAGTTGATGCTTCTGTACAGCTGAATCCAACGATTGTTAAAAATGTACATATATTCCTGTGCCTTCATGTCATTTTCCAGTTTTGTTGATTTTTGTGTTATGCCCTAACATCAAACTACTTTAATGGCAGTGGCAAATTATACATGGATTTGACCAGCAGGTGGCAGTGGCTAGCTACTCACAAAATTGTATTAAAGGTGGTGAATTGCCTGAGTAGATTATTCTTTTGGCCTTAATTAAGTGCATTTTCATCTGTAAATCCTGATACTGTTTAGACCAATTAGCAAATGTTAAAACTTTGCTGCTGTCCAGGAAAGTATGGTCCCTGTTTTTGGTGTTATTAAATTAAACTATAATAATAAACAAAAAAAAAGTAGCCATCTTGTCTTAAAAGTGATTACCAAAGTAAGTTAATAACTATCACAATTAATATTGAGGCAATAAAGAATTAATGGTTTTAGCAATAAGATATATTTTTATGTATTTGATGCTCTATTTAACATGAATAATAATAATAATACCCCCCAAAAAATCAAAGGTAAGTCCCTGAAAGTACCAATGTGATGACAAAAAGCAATGACGTAGCTTAAATAATGAAACATTTTGATTATATTCTTGTTAAGCTATTCAAGTCAAAAAAACAAAAAACTTTTCTTCTTACTTTACACACATTCTTCAGTGTATACAGAAACCCTAGAGGCTCACCCCCTGTCACACTTACTCCTGTTTGGTGCTGCATCTATTGCACTTCATCAGTGTCCCCTGACCATACAGAAGGAGGCCCCTCCCCCACAGTGACTCACCCCCATCTCTTGCTTGGCTTGGTCACTGATGCAGAACGAAGCCTTGACATTGTACCAGTCAGGCAAAGCTTCATTTGCCATCTCTCCAATCTCTTGGACCAATTCATTAATTAACACGTATGCTTAATTTGTGCCTGTCTTGATTGCAGCAATAGGAGCCCTTATTCTCCCCCCCCCCCCCCCCCCATTGACTCAGTATCTAATTCTAA